CCCAGAAGAAGAAGTGCATTACAGAGGATAGCCCAAAGGTGGGATACTACTTAGAAATTGTAGAAAGGTATGGTGTAGTCCACCACAGGCTTGTATGGTAATGATGAAGCTGGCTGACAGCTAGAATGAACAAGAAAGTTCTGTTTTCAGAACAGTGAAGATATTGCATCTAGAAGTCAAGTATCCAAATCGTCTTGGTAGTATCAATAAAAGGGAAAGCGCTGCCGCTGGTCAACTAGCATGGTAAGTAGGTCCATGCAGCTGGCCCCGGATGTACCCTCACAATAGGGGAACCGGGTAACCAAGTCGCGATCCGAATGAATGGTAGTTCGCTGGGCCTGTCTTTTGCTCCCAGAGGTGCTGGTTCGAATCCAGTTCGTGACAACCACAAAGCCTTTGATCATAGAATATCTCGGGACCCCCGCTGGTAAATACGGGGCTCTGGCAGCTGCACTTTTTTTTTATATGATGCATCGAATGCTTCCTCTGCTTTCAGTAAAAATACCAAAAGCCTATTCTCGAGGCACTCTTTCTCTTATAGCGCTCTTTCCTTCCCTTCGAGCTAGCCGGAAAAAATCCATTTCTTTTGTCTGTAAGAGAAAAGGCGCTTATTCCATGAAAGAGGAGCGCAGCGGAGTCATGAACAAACAAGAATAGCCACTTCCTTATCTACGCTATTGACTTTCCTCCCCTCGTGGGAAGTAGCAAGAGCCTTTATCTAATCTACTATTGAACCATCTCACCTGAAAGTCAGTCGCTACCTTAAGGCATGCCTTGACTCCACTCGATGGGACTTGCTTTCCTAAAGAGAAGACGAAGAGGATGACACTGGGGATCGTTCTTACTTAAAGAAATTCCCATGAGCTGCCTTGAGCTGGTAACTCAAAAATCGATGATTCTTGGCCACTGACTTACTGCTTTCACTCAAATGCCACTGATGCGTAAGACATTGAGTTGGACTACTTTCCTTCTGGTAATGCCTTTCCCTGTGGTCACCTTGCCCTTCTACTTACTGGCTTGGCTATTTCGAAGGATTCGCTTCGGCGGGTGATTTAACTAAAAAAGAATTTTTGAAAGTGGCACTCCTTCCTTGCTTATTACCCCGTAGTGGGATATTTTTTGACAATCGGTCGTAGATTCCCTGGCTTGGCTAGGAACCTAGTCCCTTCTTGTGACAACAGAAGAGAAGGAATTGCCTTTTTTCTCTCTTTTTCGCCTTTGGCCTGGTCAAAGCAAAAAAGCCACTACCAACTATGATTTCCACGAAATGCTAGTCGAAGATCCACTATTTACTTATTTCTAATAAGATAGGACCATCGGAAAGAAAGTCAAGTCGAATCCCGTGCTTTCGGGTGATTCCGCATTCAAATGCTACCCACGTGAATGCTAGTCGAATCCGTATGCCCAAACCACATAAGATAAGCTAAGCAGCTAGATCGATTCCAAACGTGTGATTAGTAGCTGATGCAGAAAAAAGAAGAACAGCTTCTTCTTCTATGATGACATCTGCAGCAGATTCAATGGCCTCGGTTTACACATTCTTTACTTGAAAAAAAGAGTGAAGTTAGAAGGATTCTCGTCAGAAGGTCAGGTCAGAAGTGGATTCCCGGTACGATACTAGGCTATGATTCCCGGGGAGAGAGAGAACTCTTATAAGAAAATGGGCCTTGAGCCTGCTTCATCGCCTTGACTTGATTCGGGTAAGTCAAAGTAAGGACTTTGCTTTTTCAAATCCCAGACAGGAAGGAAGTCGAAAAAAGATCTGCTTCAGGATCAACTGAAGCAGAAGAAGAGACCTTTTCCCCTTGGGGAATGAAAAAGATCATCTTTCTAAAAATGAAATAAGACGTGTTCACTCTGTAAGAGCCCTTGGTCTTAGTCTTAAAGAGAAGGAAGCCGGCAATAGCACGATAGCAAAGAGCAAAGAAAGCTAAGCGCGCAGAGAGAGCAGCATATAGCGCGAAAGAGTCCAAATACAAGAAAGGCAGAGCGCGAAGCTTGTGGTCCGTTCCTTTCCCAACTATAGTGGAACTTGCCCGAAGGAAATCTTTTATCTTCTTGCCGGGAAAGAGTTTGATTACCAAGTTCGATTACCATAAGTGGAAGTTCAAACCTTATATCTCCGATATATAGGATATAATGTCAGAAAAAAATAAATTTTGGTAGATAGTATGGCTTGACAATGTCGAGCTAAGACTATCGCGAAGTAAACATAGGGTCTGTCTCAGCCTTGACTATGGAATCTGATTTCCTAGCGACTATGTTCCCCTTTTTTCCTGCAGTCTTTCCAGCTATGGATCCTACAATTCCCTATGAAGCTCCCTGACAACCCCTTCAATCCATCTTCATCTTGGCTGGCAGCCTAGATTGAGCCCTGGGACTGATCTTCCCGTTGGCTTTACTGCAGCAGTACTCACAGTGAAAGGTCAGCGGGGGGCATAGCGAAATTCCTCACCGAGATGACTGGACAACCTATCGACCAGATCGCACCAGCGGAGCGATTCAAAGCCTCTTTGGAGCGAATTCCTTTGAAGTAGTTAGTGCTCTAATTGAGTGAGCCGTGGATCATAAATGATGAGCGTAGCTTAATTTAGCTGATCTCACACCGAACTATAAATAAATAAGTGAGTGGCTCTTTATAGCCCAATGGCTACCACCGGAAGTGCGCTAAGTTAGTCACAGGGGAACCCCAAGTTCTTTCTCCGACTCTATAAAATAAACTTGGATGGCTTGCTTGCTTGTTTAGCTTGCCCCCTCTTTGAATGTGTACAATTCGAGCAAGCAAATGGCTAGCAGGGCCGAGGAACCACAATGAACGGGACGACAGAAGTTCCACAAGAATATGACCAGAGAGATATGTTCTTCTTCGTGCATGCAGGTCTGGTTCCTGAGAAAACAGATATCTATTAGCGAGTTTCGCCGTACAATATATAACCCGGGACTGGCTGAAATGAATGAATTCTCATGGTTTCCGCCGGCTAATAGGGCGAGCAGCGTAATGGGGGCGGACGACGTGAGTGAGAGCCCAGACCATAGCGGCTTTAGAGACTTCTCTCTCGGCGACGAAAACGTTCTCCGGGAGGCTTTCCTTTCTGCTTTACTGTGATTTACCCATAACCATCAGCGGCAAGGATTATGGAAGAGGCCAAACCAACCCAGGTACACCACAAGTAGATACGGTTGGAGTAGCAGATCCTATAGAAACAAAGACAAAGCCCGAGGCAGATCCAGACGCGTACCTAGGTGGCGCAGCATCCCTTCGAGTTGCTTGCCACCCCTTTTATCCTTTCTCCCTCCTCCGGTCGCCTCGTTACCTTTTTTGCTTTCTCACATTGACTTCTTTCCGCTTTTTCACTTCTTTTCCTTTGATTCAGCTGTATTAGTAGCTGATGATTCCTTTTTTCCAAGTGTGTCCGATTGGTATCACTCGCATAAGACTTTTCCTTTATTTGTAGCGGCCATGTGGCATAGTCCATCTTTTCCTTCTATTTTTCCCTCAAAATAGAATATATACTTGCCTTTGTACTGATTTGAATATATGTAGGAAGGCTTAGTGGAAGGGCGGCACCCTCTTCAGAGGTGCCCGAGGGGCACGGTCTCTGTCTTTGACTTGGCCTTCGGCCTTGAGAACACAATGATTTCGGACTTTCTCTTTTCCGAGCCTTACTAGGCGCGTATTGCTTTCTTGTCTTTTTTAGCTTGAGGTCTATATAGACGATCTGACTCTTTGTCAAGTGAGAGTAAGAATTCTCCTATTGTGATAGCGGTTAGTGGAACGTGCAAGATAGGGCCAGCTAGGCGAGCAGGGTCAAGAAAGAAAAAAAGTCGTAGGCAGAGATGACTAAGTGAAGAAGGCCCTACCCCTTATTCATTCAAAAAGGGAGTAGCGGAGAGAGACGTTCCCGAAAGGCACCTATCCGTGGGAGACAGAAGATGAATGGGGAGCCGACTAGAAGACAGATAAAGGAGCAGGCTGGAGCGGGGCTTTAGGAAGAAGGGGGCCGGAGATGGACTTGGATGATGGAAAAAGCGGTCTTCCTCGCTTGCTCCAATGCTTGGTGAATCAGTCAATGGAAAATTGCTAGCGATCTCAGAAGCACAAGGAAGCAGAAGAAAGAAGGCCCGCCAGAAAGAGGGGAGACCCCGGAACGATGTATGAAAGAGACTCTTGAAAGCTATCGAAGTGGACAATAGAGTGCTGCTTCTTATGAAAAAGCCCTCAATGCTGTGTGAAAGAGTGGCGGGGAATGACTGGGCTCAGGAGTAAAGTCAACATAGTGTGGAAAGTGGGGTCGACCTTCTAGTGCCTTGTAGGGAAAGAGAGGTTCTCTAGGCAGATAGAGAAGGAAGGGCCAATAGAGAAGAATGTTGAAATGAGAGTTGCATTTAGTAGCGCCGGCGCCTCATCCAAATGAGACTTGGAAAGCGAGATAGGGCCTAACTGGGAGGCAGGAAGAAGACTACACGAGTGGTTCGGGACGGAATCTCTTTGACTTTCTGGTGCCATAGCTTCGACTCCACCCCAGAAATAGTAATAGGAGGGAGCCGCTACTTCACCGGGAGATCGTGATGAGGCAAAAGGGGGCTTTATTAAAGTCCTCTGGGTCGTCCACTAAGTGAGTGAAAGAGGTCTCATTGGGAGAATTGGGAAGAGAGAAGGCCAGCCTCCCACTATGTGAAAGAAGAGCTTTTTCTCTCATATTCACTTCTATAGAATATATATAATAGGTAGTTCGCTTAGCCGCAGCTGAAGCCATAGATCTTGCCCGGGATGCTCCCAAGGTTCATCGGGACATTTTTTTCAACAACTGAACTAGCATCACCGTTCTTAAGCCTAGACTTGTTTTGGGGTTCCAAACCTCCTCCTATTGCCTTTACCCAGCGGCAAGACGCTTAGTTTTGTCGGAAAGGGAATGCTTATTCCCCTCTACTGTGCGGGTGCTAAGACTAGGCGAAGAATTAAATGAATCAGTTCGCTTGACCAACCCGAGCCTTCGAGCCTATAGTTCTTCTGATTTGGCTAACATCCTTCGATGACAAGCCGACCGAAGGAAGACGCACCGGGAGCCTACTTCTATCTCATCAGAAGCAGGCGCATAGGCTATAGAATATAGAATCCCACCTTCTACTCTATCAGCTACTCTAATTTTGAGTTGGTCATAGGTTGACAGTTTTCGGGGCTCACTTTTCGGGTCAGAACTATTGGAAGACGAAAGATAACTTATTTAGACGAATAGTGTGCCGATGCCATTACCCCCAAAAAGCCTACATTAGCAGTGCGGGTTAAATCAGACAGAAACCAAGTCCAAGAAGACCGAGGAGGCCTTGGGGTAATAGAACAAGGGAGGAAGAAAGGAAGGAGCTTCGGCTCCAGCTCCGCAAAGGTAGACTTTTTCCAGGTTAGCTAGAGAGAGCGATATTCATCTTTTATAGCTTGTTTACCGGAGGCCTCGTTTTCAGGTTTGATAGAATAAAGAAGTAGAATAGATCTCTCTTCTTAAAGTATACAACACTTCCCGCAAGGTTCACACCGCGGAAAAGGTGAAACGTCGTCTCTGTCAAATAAGCTATGATACTCTGGTAATACCTGTTGCTGATCCTCATCTTGTACTTGTGAACAGCAGCAGAGGCCGCATATGATAGGTTATTCCAGAATCAATGTGAATATCGCCGAATAGGAGACTTCGTTGCACAATCGTGAGTCCCTTGAATATAGAGAGAAGTTTGACTTGTAAAAAAAGACGTGAGTGTCCCTAAAACTATGCCCTTGTTCTAATAGTACAAGCTCGCTATAAATCCAGTTTTTTGTATATAGATAGAGAGCCCCTAGCCCGAGAGACTAGTTCTCTCCAGTGTCTTTGACAACTATATACGAAAGAGTACGATAACAGGCCTTTCAGTGCCATCGAAAGAGCCTAACGCCTATATCCTACCAACCTCAATCTGCACGTCCGAAAGGGACCCTCTAATTCTATCATTCAGAAGCCTCAGGACCGTATCCATGAGGGTACAAAGATTTTTTTGAGGCTAGCAACCGATAGCAACTGTAGCATTAGGATCGACATTGGAAGATTTTCGTCAAGGTCATACTTAAACCGTATGATCCTTATAACTCATGATAGTTTGACTAAGGAAGCATGCATTGGAGCTTACTTGTTCTCAAAACAGGTGGTCAGGCTAGTACGGAAGTCGGTATTTTGATTCACATCACTGTATCTAAAACAGTGTTCTTCATCCCGCTTACGGAGGTATTCCGAAGCCACCCGAATTGTTGCCTGTACCAGTCTCCCTCAATCGATCAGGGTATCCTCGTATCATCCCTCTCATCGCCGGATGATGATGCGGAAGGATGACCGGGCGGACGTTTTAGTTAAGCTCTATCTGTCTCTCGGGACTCGATCGAGTCATTCTTGTGTGTACTTGTCATTCGTAATGGTTTTAGTAACTCTTTCTTGCTTTCGTCACTTGTCATTCAGGTACTAGTATCTGTAAATCAACTCCACTCTTTCTTGTACCTGGCACTAGTAAAATTGTATCTCGGTTCATGGCATGTTAAAACGACTCTATCGGCTTATAGTCATTCCTGGCACTCGGCGCATGTCTTTGATCAACACCGGTTCCGTCACTCGTATCTGGTTGAACCAGTACTTCCTTTCTGCCGTTCCTAGGGACCACCCACTCCCGTTCCTTGGTTGTTGGTGTATTGGCTCTTTGGTTTGGTTCCCGGTCAAAGCCGTGAAAGCAAGATAGGGTGAACACATCTGTATCGTAATATGGGTATGAGTATAGTATATGTACAAACAGGTAAGTGAACTACTCCTTCGACTGGTCTGCCCGCCGTTTGGTTTGAGGGCCTACATCGACTAGGCCTCCCGCTGACTGAGGGAAGCGATCTGTCTTAAACAAGAAGATTTTCCGGGTGAACAATGAGATGGCATGTGAATGAGTGATATGGGGAGAAGGAATCAATTCTTGTACGTATGATATGGGGTCGGTACGATACACATATGGTGAACAGTCAAAGCGAGGGATGGGGTCTAGTTAAATACGATATGGGGAGATATGGGATACAGCTAATGTCGATAAGGAAGGGAGGGAAGGAGCTCTTGCCTTCAACTCAGAGCAGAACGTTCCTTCCGCAACGCAAGGCCTATTTGCTTTCGTAGCAGCCAAGGATGAGTTCGATCCATTAGGTTCTTCTATTTGTTCAGAAAAGAAACGAGAGACAAGAAAACATCTTTGATTACGATTAAAAGGAACAATCTAAAATAGACCAAGATCTATCTAATTTCGGGTCATTTCTTGGTGAACATGATCTGCCATAATCTCTTCGATCCCTTCATTTATGTGCCAGAATAAAGAGAGATTTGGTAGGAAAGTGGAAGATACTTTTTTTTATATGATAATCAAAGGGAGTGGGAAAGCTGCAGTAATTCTTTGGAAAAGCCCGCTTCTCTTTGTCTTCGAGCTTGAATTCTTCAATCCACTGATTCGTTCCTTCATATACCTCCCCACCAATAGATAGAGACAAATGGGAATAACCGAACCACGTCTACAAAATGCCAGTACCATGCAGCTGCTTCAAAGCCAACGTGATGCTCCTTGGTCAGATGACCAAGATATTGGCGAATACCACATATGATCGAGAAAAGAGTACCTATAATCACATGAAAACCATGAAAGCCAGTTGCTAAGAAAAAGGTAGAACCATAAATACTATCCGAAATTGTGGGGGGCGCTTGATAATATTCCATTCCTTGAAAGGCGGTGAATACTAGAGCCAGTGAAACGGTAGCTACTAAAGCGTAAACTGCTCGTTTTTCCTTCCCCGCGAGTATAGCATGATGAGCCCAAGTTACGGCAGCTCCGGATGAAAGGGGAATAAGAGTATTAAGAAAAGGGATTTCCCGAGGATCTAAAACCGCAATCCCTTTTGGGGGCCAAATACCTCCGATCTCTACCGTAGGTGCCAAAGAAGAATGAGAAGAAGCCCGAAAAAGAGCAAAAAGGAACATAACCTCCGAAACGATAAACAGAATAAACCCATATCGAGGTCCTAATTGTACGACTTTGGTATGATGTCCTTCCAACGTGGATTCACGTAGAACATCGCGCCACCATACGAACATGGTATATAGGATAAAGATTAGGCCCAAACTGAGAAGTGTTGCACCCCCTTGAAATGAGTGCATGTACATCACACCTCCTACGGTGGTTGCCAAAGCTCCGAGTGAACCCGAAATAGGCCATGGACTTGGATCTACCAAATGATAAGAGTGCCTCTGAGATTCAATCATAAACAACTTTGCCTCGGTTGCATGTAAACCCCCCTTCACCCCCGCCCCCTAAAGTGGTAAAGAAGGCTCTTTGGGGTCTCTCTTTCTATCTGACAGGACAAACAAATAGGAAGGGATGGTTCTTTCATTGCAAGAAGTCTAACTAGAAAAGGATCTCCCTATTACTTTGAGAAGAGAATTGTTGGTTTGACCGACGAACTACGTGGGAAAATGGATCTTCTTTCTTTTCAGAAAGCATTTTTTGAAAGTAACAATTCCATTCAGTTCGGTTTCGGAAAACTTTCCGCCGGGGCCTAACATCAAAGGCGCAGGTTGATCTCTATGGTTGAGGCTGCAATTCATTTTTACACGTGGGAAGGGCTTACTCTACTAGAGGCTCGGCTTGGTCTCGCTCCCTTCCCGTACTATTCCTCCCCACTAAAAAAAGAGCGATTGAGAATCTCGAGAACCTTTCTGAACGTCTGTCTTCGCGGGGCGATTTGAAAAGGAGTATATCTTTCTTGTAGTGCCTTCCATTCCACTATTCTGATCGAGAAAGAATCTCTTCTGAACGACCAAGTCATAATGAGATTAAAAACCGATGCTTCCTTGGCCGTGTGGAACATGGATTAGCATTATGTCATTCCTACAAGTGATCCCCCATCCAGGATTGGAAGAAGTGCTATATGAGGACTTCGAGATCAAATAGAAGATGTTCCTTTCCATTCCTCGTGAGCCACTGATTTCTCCGAAACAAGAGATCAAAGTGATCTTCCTCCTTTTTCCCAATAAGTCGACGGCCTTACACCATTGGGAGACTTCGAATAAACTGGAGTACATATAGGATAGACCGGTGCTAAAACCTTTTCTCAAGATATCTTCCAAACTGTTGGGCTCCTTGCTCCGGATGTTGTTCGTACGGTGTGAAAGCAGTTGGTTACGTAGTTTTAGAATTCTGCTGATCCCAAGTAGTCCATCTCCATCATTGCATATGGCAATATAGAAAGTAAAGAGGAAAAGGCATGACCAGAAGAATTGTGTGAAATAAGTGAATTGATCTAGTTGAGGCATGATTGATTCAGTGATGTGACTTCTCCTGCTCCAGTAAATCAGTCTGGAGACTTGCTAATTCAATTCAATTGCCTTGGTTTTTCCAAGAAATACATGGGAAAAATAGGGAGAAAGAAATGGGATTGTGTCAACAGGCCCCTATTCCGACGAAAAACAGCCCCTTTTCTTTTTGTTTAGCCTGTTCCTATCAGATAAATTCTTAAGAGAAGAGGAAAAAAGTCCTCCGTCATAGGCGGCCGAGGGTACCTTCCTAGAGGTTCTTTTTTAATTTGAATCAGGTCTCCTCACTTATGTTTATGCTTATGATAATATATGCCGATCCCTAATCTCACAAATAGATTTCGACCCAATCTCCCATTTGTGAAGCAGATCATGAGTGTATTCCGCCTACATTTGTTAGGTTCTTTGATTCTGTAAGTTTGTCTTGTTTAGATTGCATTGCACGAGAGCGCCCTTTTTTACTTTATATAAAAAATATAGATTTACAATAAATAATAGGTAACCTTCATCAATAAACCTTGCATAAGAGATAGATCCTGCTGACTTGAACTGAGCACGAATTTCATTTGTATTTGAGCGTAAAAGCAGCATATTGCTTTGAAGGTTTCCAACCTACTGGTTCAGCCAAGAACCAGAAACCGAATGAAGGAAGCGAAGATCAGAGTCAAAATATGCCGTGGAGAAGAGCTTACTTATGAGCGGAAGACGAAGTCGCAGGGGCTGGATTGAATCCTTCTCAGGAAGAGCTGATGCTTGCTGGGTCTTTTTGTCTAGCAGCTATGGAAAAGCCTATAGTATAGGGCTGGAATCGCAAGAAAACCCAGTCTCCAACTGAAAATTCCCTCTCACTTCTATGTTGATCCTCATATTGCTTCATTCTAACTTGTGCCCTTGACTGTCCTTCGAAATCTGTATGACAGTCGACTGCTCCCTGAGATGACTCTCTGCCGAGGCAACATTGGAACCTTCAGGCTGGGGCATAGGTATAAGTGTTGGAGCATAGCGATAGAGGGCTTCAATTAAAATGGGGTCATTTTCATTGTGGTATGATAAGTAGTGTCGTACCACCACTCTGCTAAGGATAACCACTTATATACCACTTCTGTGGCGCGAGTGGCCTTCTGTGCTACTCATTAATCATTAATCTGGGGTGAAATAACAGAATGATGTTAGAGCCCCCTTCAATAAGAGGTCCAGCTATTTTGCATTCCTCGGAACAAATTATCAAGCTAGTGCTACTGCCTTCCTTCGTGCGCCTTCTTTGATTTCTGTGGCTTTACTGGTACGAGCCGCGATCCCAAGTCTTGTTCGCATGCTTCCGGAACTTGTTCGTCAACACCAGGTCAGCAGGTGGCTCTTTCATCAGACATGGCTATGCTCACCATATTGCAGTATAATGGGCGATATCTCCTACGCTGTCTTTGTGGATTCCCACCGAATTCCAAGTAGTCTTATCTTTCTGTGCGGCTTTCTTTATAGGGATCCTGCCGGCACGGTACTCCGTTTCCAGCAAGTTCGTGAAGGTCCAGCAATTTGAAAGGGGATGTTGTACGTACCGATGTTTTTGACAGTACTACTTAGGGTCCTCAGTACGACTTCGTTTGGCCTGTGTTCCAAATTCAATGCTCAGGCAGCTCAAAAGCCTTATTCTTCAACAGGAGCTGGTCTAGTACTTCGGGGCAGTAACTCAAAGTGGTACCAGGTCAGTCCCTAACTATCTGCTTCCACTAAATACGCGGTAACGCTAACTCATGTGCTGAACACAGGGTCAGTCACGGACCTCTTAGGTTTTTTCAGAAAGAACAAAAAAATTATCGTTAAGGTCCCATAGATAGAACCTGATACGAAGTACTGAACATAAGACCTATGTAAGGGAGTCAGTCCTACTCATAAAGGTGAAGGACCAAGCACTAGATCGTTGAAAACAAAAAGAAAGACTGACTTTTAGATAACTTATTTAGGAAGGAGCCATCATAACTGCTCGCCATCGGAATAGGCTTTCAAGGCAGCTGCCAAGTCAGCCAGTAAGTAAGCAGGTAATAGTCAGCCAGCAAGCTGGGCCGTTCTTGCCAGTTCGAGTACGAGACTTCGGTGTAGTAGTACTATAACGGTTTTGACACATACTAAGGACTCCTTTTGTAAAGCAACTTCTTGTGCTTTTATTCCAGCCAACGAAGCTCCGTCTAATCTAATAGGGGCTCGGTTCGGTTCACCCATCATACCTACTAAGTCGAAGGCAGGCGAACTCGGACCAGTGCAACAAAGTTTAGACTCTCGCGATTGGACTCTATAACAGAAGAGGTTGTGCAAAAAGGAAAGGGAAAAGAAGCTTTGCAAAAGCTAAGGCCGAAGCTCTTTGGGCGATATTATAGCATAGCGCATTTCCTCATGATTAGGGTGATGTGGTTGTTCCATCGGTTTTCTTTATGGAGGGATCTCTTATTCAAGATATTCTTGAAAGGCGGATTGACAAGTGCGACGAGGAGATGGAGATTCCAGAAAAGTCTACGAATAAGTAAGTGAAGGCTTGGCTTACGTGCTCAGCTCAAGCAAGAAGAAGCTAGAAAGTCAAGCCTATTGAATGGTGGCAGAGGGAGTGGAGGTCTAAAAGTCAGAAGAGAACACTGTGCAAAGGGTACGCGACCACAACACACTGTTGTCCCTTTTTTTTCTTTCTTTTTCTTCGCACTAGGAGTAGCTGTAACTTAGCAATTCGATTGTACTCAGATCGAACATGGCAATGAATGTCAGTGTGCTCTCTGGGCCTTACTTCTTGATGACTGATCTACATTCTCAGCTGATGACATTGAATGATTTGAGGACGCTGGGCGGCCAAGCTTGCTTGCGCTTGGGCTGTTTCGCCGTGGCTTGGGGTATAACGGTTCGGAGAGATCGACGAGCACCTCACACTGCCATGCCAACCGCAGCTTTTGAATCAATTTTGGGGTGATCTTTGACCAGCCGATGCAGCGGGAATGGGATATTGAATGAAAGTCAATCGAAGAGACAAGTGACTTCCCCGCTAAGGAAATCTGCTAACACTCTAAACGATTCAAATACAGATCAAAGTCTATCACGCCCTCATAGGAATCGAGGAAAGATGGATTTTAGCAGCTGGGTAGTTCACCACTGTTCGAGCTTGATAGGTAATAGCAAATCCTAGATCACCCTTTTTAACTAAACTCAGGGTATTGATAGCAAGAAGATTCGCAGTCAAACTATCCAGTTCAGGAAGTTCTCTTGCGGGATAGGCTAATCCGAACAAAAAGCATCCTAATAAAGGAAAAAATGGTATTTAGGACATCAATCCAGAGGGGATGAAAAGGAGGCACACAACAGCTCATCCAACAGGATAGGTCTGAAAACCTGGCGCATAAAGCGTAGCTGATGAAACCGCATTCCCTTCTATTGGCTCCTACGGATGCTTTCCTTGAGTTCATCCCGCTTTGGAGAAACCTCCTTCATTCTACCTCTTGCCATTGTCTTTTCAGTACCTTGGTTAGCTTCCTATTCAGCCAGTATGCCTCTTTGCACACCTTCCCTTTCGGTCATCTCACTCTTTTCTCTCATCCCCGCAATAGGGATCAATCTTTTACACCGATGTATCGTACTCTCTCCTTCCGATGCTGCAAGCTGAGATAGTTGAATTAGATGTCAGTTCCTCTAGCAGACAAGAAGGCCATCAATGAAACTCTTCTTTCATAGCTTGGCTAATTGCTTTCCTTTCCATGCTCTGGTATGAACACTATAAGGGATTGAGCTAAGAAAGCTGACTAAATCGG